CGAGCAGTCCGGGTGTTCACTCTTCAGTGTGATGACTTTCAGGTCACCTGAGCCCAGAGAATGGCTCACATCCATGGAAGTCAGACTGGAGTAGAGATATTATCCTAGCTAGTACCAACTACACAGTGACTGTGTTCTTCAACCCATCGACCATAGAAAAGTCAAATGGCCAGCTACAGATGTATGCCCTATCATGTAATGAGGTCGGGTAGGTAGTGTTTTTCTTTTAGGATTTCAGTCTTGTAGGATTAACACCTTAAGAATGAGAATCACACAGGTACAAGTGATATTCAGCATAAATACTAGCTGAAAATGGTCAGCAAGTGAAGTGCTGGGAAATAATGGCATCTGGCCTGATACCGACCACAAGATCCACCGACTGGTCTATAAAATACAGGCCAAGCCCAAATACCTGAAGGTGTAGAAAAAGGCCCTTACTTGAATATCCCTGTTCATTAACTCACTTCAATGAAAGGCTGCTATGTCCCTGTTCATTAACTCACTTCAATGAAAGGCTATGTCCCTGTTCATTAACTCACTTCAATAAAAGGCTGCTATGTCCCTGTTCATTAACTCACTTCAATAAAAGGCTGCTATGTCCCTGTTCATTAACTCACTTCAACGAAAGGCTGCTATGTCCCTGTTCATTAACTCACTTCAATAAAAGGCTATGTCCCTGTTCATTAACTCACTTCAATGAAAGGCTGCTATGTCCCTGTTCATTAACTCACTTCAATGAAAGGCTGCTATGTCCCTGTTCATTAACTCACTTCAATAAAAGGCTGCTATGTCCCTGTTCTCACTTGAAAGGCTCATGTCCCTGTTCATTAACTCACTTCAATAAAAGGCAGCTATGTCCCTGTTCATTAACTCACTTCAATGAAAGGCTGCCATGTCCCTGTTCATTAACTCACTTCAATGAAAGGCTGCTATGTCCCTGTTCATTAACTCACTTCAATGAAAGGCTGCTATGTCCCTGTTCATTAACTCACTTCAATAAAAGGCTGCTATGTCCCTGTTCATTAACTCACTTCAATGAAAGGCTGCCATGTCCCTGTTCATTAACTCACTTCAATAAAAGGCTATGTCCCTGTTCATTAACTCACTTCAATGAAAGGCTGCTATGTCCCTGTTCATTAACTCACTTCAATGAAAGGCTGCTATGTCCCTGTTAACTCACTTCAATAAAGGCTGCTATGTCCCTGTTCATTAACTCACTTCAATGAAAGGCTGCTATGTCCCTGTTCATTAACTCACTTCAATGAAAGGCTGCTATGTCCCTGTTCATTAACTCACTTCAATGAAAGGCTGCCATGTCCCTGTTCATTAACTCACTTCAATGAAAGGCTGCTATGTCCCTGTTCATTAACTCACTTCAATGAAAGGCTATGTCCCTGTTCATTAACTCACTTCAATGAAAGGCTGCTATGTCCCTGTTCATTAACTCACTTCAATGAAAGGCTGCTATGTCCCTGTTCATTAACTCACTTCAATGAAAGGCTGCTATGTCCCTGTTCATTAACTCACTTCAATGAAAGGCATGCTATGTCCCTGTTCATTAACTCACTTCAATGAAAGGCTGCTATGTCCCTGTTCATTAACTCACTTCAATGAAAGGCTGCTATGTCCCTGTTCATTAACTCACTTCAATGAAAGGCTGCTATGTCCCTGTTCATTAACTCACTTCAATGAAAGGCTGCTATGTCCCTGTTCATTAACTCACTTCAATGAAAGGCTGCTATGTCCCTGTTCATTAACTCACTTCAATGAAAGGCTGCTATGTCCCTGTTCATTAACTCACTTCAATGAAAGGCTGCTATGTCCCTGTTCATTAACTCACTTCAATGAAAGGCTGCTATGTCCCTGTTCATTAACTCACTTCAATTAAAGGCTGCTATGTCCCTGTTCATTAACTCACTTCAATGAAAGGCTGCTATGTCCCTGTTCATTAACTCACTTCAATGAAAGGCTATGTCCCTGTTCATTAACTCACTTCAATGAAAGGCTATGTCCCTGTTCATTAACTCACTTCAATGAAAGGCTATGTCCCTGTTCATTAACTCACTTCAATGAAAGGCTGCTATGTCCCTGTTCATTAACTCACTTCAATAAAAGGCTATGTCCCTGTTCATTAACTCACTTCAATGAAAGGCTGCTATGTCCCTGTTCATTAACTCACTTCAATGAAAGGCTGCCATGTCCCTGTTCATTAACTCACTTCAATAAAAGGCTATGTCCCTGTTCATTAACTCACTTCAATAAAAGGCTGCCATGTCCCTGTTCATTAACTCACTTCAATGAAAGGCTGCTATGTCCCTGTTCATTAACTCACTTTAATGAAAGGCCATGTCCCTATTCATTAACTCACTTCAATGAAAGGCTGCTCTGTCCCTGTTCATTAACTCACTTCAATAAAAGGCAGCTATGTCCCTGTTCATTAACTCACTTCAATGAAAGGCTGCCATGTCCCTGTTCATTAACTCACTTCAATGAAAGGCTGCTATGTCCCTGTTCATTAACTCACTTCAATGAAAGGCTGCTATGTCCCTGTTCATTAACTCACTTCAATGAAAGGCTGCCATGTCCCTGTTCATTAACTCACTTCAATGAAAGGCTATGTCCCTGTTCATTAACTCACTTCAATAAAGGCTGCCATGTCCCTGTTCATTAACTCACTTCAATGAAAGGCTGCTGTCCCTGTTCATTAACTCACTCAATGAAAGGCTGCTATGTCCCTGTTCATTAACTCACTTCAATGAAAGGCTGCTATGTCCCTGTTCATTAACTCACTTCAATGAAAGGCTGCTATGTCCCTGTTCATTAACTCACTTCAATGAAAGGCTGCTATGTCCCTGTTCATTAACTCACTTCAATGAAAGGCTGCTATGTCCCATTAAACTCACTTCATTAACTCACTTCAATGAAACTTCAATGGCTGCTATGTCCCTGTTCATTAACTCACTTCAATGAAAGGCTATGTCCCTGTTCATTAACTCACTTCAATGAAAGGCTATGTCCCTGTTCATTAACTCACTTCAATGAAAGGCTGCTATGTCCCTGTTCATTAACTCACTTCAATGAAAGGCTGCTATGTCCCTGTTCATTAACTCACTTCAATGAAAGGCTGCTATGTCCCTGTTCATTAACTCACTTCAATGAAAGGCTGCTATGTCCCTGTTCATTAACTCACTTCAATGAAAGGCTGCTATGTCCCTGTTCATTAACTCACTTCAATGAAAGGCTGCTATGTCCCTGTTCATTAACTCACTTCAATGAAAGGCTGCTATGTCCCTGTTCATTAACTCACTTCAATGAAAGGCTGCTATGTCCCTTCATTAACTCACTTGAAAGGCTGCATTAACTCACTTCAATGAAAGGCTGCTATGTCCCTGTTCATTAACTCACTTCAATTATGTCCCTGCTCATTAAAGGCTGCTATGTCCCTGTTCATTAACTCACTTCAATGAAAGGCTGCTATGTCCCTGTTCATTAACTCACTTCAATGAAAGGCTATGTCCCTGTTCATTAACTCACTTCAATGAAAGGCTATGTCCCTGTTCATTAACTCACTTCAATGAAAGGCTATGTCCCTGTTCATTAACTCACTTCAATGAAAGGCTATGTCCCTGTTCATTAAATCACTTCAATGAAAGGCTACTATGTCCCTGTTCATTAACTCACTTCAATGAAAGGCTGCTATGTCCCTGTTCATTAACTTACTTCAATGAAAGGCTGCTATGTCCCTGTTCATATGTCCCTGTTCATTCAGACTGTTTTTTAGAAATAAGAAGAGATTTCATCAAAAGAAAAAAAAAAGGGGGGGGGGGGGTGAACACCAACAGTGAATACAGAGAATGAGATGGGTCAGACTAAACAGCAAAACAAAATCTGTAAATGCAAGCATAGTACTAATGTTGACAATGGTAAACAGGACAAAACAGACACTATATTCACCACCTGGCTACCTAGACTTGAGAACACTAAAGAAGTCAGTAGAAACACTGTTGGATTGATTCATCTGACACAAGTTGACAATGAATGGAAACACTGTTGGATGTATTCATCTGACACAAGTTGACAATGAATAGAAACACAGCACACCAACAGCTAATCACATTCTGTGCTCAACATTGCCTTCTCTTGTGACTTGCTTTCCCTGTATCTCTTTTCCTGTTCCTGTGACTTTGGCCAAGTGGTCTGACTGCTGGGTTCTGATGCAGGAAACCTGGGTTTGAACCTCGGTAAGGAATGGAGATTTTTTTTGTTGGGAGTTGGGGGAATAAAATTCAAACCTGCACAGTCCATAGCGGCTGCACTAGAACATGCTGCGGTAAATCATCAGTCTCGTGTTCCTTTTCCCCACAACACCACCCTACAAGTGGCAAATACTCACAGTAACGACAGTTGAGTTTTTCCTTCTCCCTGCTCTTCTCATACAGAGGCTTTCCCTTGTTTTTCATCTCATTTGACTTCTCTCTATCCTTTATTCCCTGGCTTCTCCTTGACTTTTATCTATTCTCTGGCTTCTCCCAGAACTTTATTTATTCCCTGGCTTCTCCCAGAACTTTATTTATTCCCTGGCTTCTCCCAGAACTTTATTTATTCCCTGGATTCTCCTTGACCTTTATTTATTCCCTGGCTTCTCCTTGACCTTTATTTATTCCTTGGCTTCTCTCTGTCCTTTATTTATTTCCTGGCTTCTACCAGACCTTTCTTTATTTCCTGGCTTCTCCCTGTCCTCTTCCTCCTCAATCCCTGGCACAATAAACATAGCAGCTAATGACTACCCCAGCCAGCAGCATCATGTAGAGCAGCAACAAAGTCTGGACTATGTCTGTGTGTGACACCACAGACTGATACCCACTGGCATTCTATCATCTCATCTGACATCTCATCTAACATACTGCCATTTCAAATGATATTTGGGCATCTCAACTGACATTCTGTCATCTCAACTGAGATTATGTCATCTCACAGAGGTTAAGACTGACATTCTGGGATCACTGCCACCAAAAGCTGACAGAGAAGCTAACCGACAAAGACTTGAGGTAATGCCAGTAGCCTGGAGGGATGTATAACATGTCCCCAGGGGTCAGGACATACTCCAGACCCGGAACGGAGGTAAACTTAGGGAACTGGTTCAAGTCAGGACAATCAAGATCAATCTGGCTGGTGTTGTGTAGCAGACGTGATGGGTAGGGATGCAGGCAATCTGTGTGGTGAGGAGAGTAGAGTCTGACGTACTTCCTGCCCATAACCTGTATAAAATCAAACAACAACTTTTAACCTACCACAGCTCAACGTCCTTAAACATTTTTTTAAAGAGGAGGCCCCTAGAGGGGTCAAAGCCTTACTTAAGTGTATTAATAATGTGCTGTATGGCAAATTTATATATTTGAAACGAAATGAAATTATAAACAAATAGTTAAAAGAGGGGGTGGGGGGCACTTAACTTCCCAACAAATTTCGTGATTTCAGCCCTTAACCTCCCAACAAATTTCCTAGTTTCGGCACTTAACTTCCCAACAAATTGTGTGTGTGTGTGTGTGTGAGCGCGCGTGCGTGCGTGCGTGTGTGTGTGTGATTGTGTCACTGATGCAAGAATGAGACCTGTCAGCCGCAGTTTGTGACTGTGACCCCAATTCCCAAAAGCCGTCTCTACAGGAGTTCAACGCATGTAGACTGCTTGCAGATGACTTTGACAGAAAACATGATACAGGCTGGTGAGAATGATCCCTTGAGATTCTTGCACTAGTGTCAGTTTGGGATTATCTTTTGCCTTTAATGATGTATCTGTCCTCTGAAGTTAACAGAGCAGACTGAGGGAGGGAGGGATCCTGCTATAAGGGCAACACATGCTCTCAATAATACTGGCCAGGTGTTGGGCTATGGAAGGGAGGGATCATGCTATAAGGGCAACACATGCTCTCTACAATACTGCCCAGGTGTTGTCCTATGGAAGGGAGGAATCATGCTATAAGGGCAACACATGCTCTCTACAATACTGCCCAGGTGTTGTCCTATGGAAGGGAGGGATCCTGCTATAAGGGCAACACATGCTCTCTACAATACTGGCCAGGTGTTGTCCTATGGAAGGGAGCAACTTCATCTCTGGTGTCACCGTGGGCTTTGTTTTCCATAATTGGACAACATACAGTGCAGACGATAAGGAAAACAGCCCGAGGTCCCAAGAAATGGTTCTTCTTATCAGAATTCCCTTTATCCAGATAAAAGCAAGAAGCAAGAAACATTGCTAGGGATAAATACAAAAAATAAAAAGCTGTTCACAATTTAAATTCACCACAGACAAGATGGCCTTCAGTGAACTGCAGTGTAATGAGCAGAGAGAGAGAGAGAGAGACAGAGAGAGAGAGACAGAGACAGAGAGAGAGACATAGAGAGAGAGACAGAGAGACACAGAGAGAGAGAGACAGAGAGAAAGACAGAGAGAGAGAGACAGAGAGAGAGAGAGAGAGAAAGAGAGAAAGAGATAGAGAGAGAGAGAGAAAGACACAGAGAGAGACAGAGAGAGAGAAAGAGAGAGAGAGACAGAGACAGAGAGAAAGACAAAGACAGAGAGAAAGAAAGACAGAGAGAGAGAGAGACAGAGAGAGAAATAGAGAGAGAGTTGCCAGCAAGCATTGATAGTCTGGCATGAAAACAAACAGCAGATGTACCTGACACAGGAAGTTGTGCTTGGGATCCTGATGCAGTGGGGAGACTGTGCCTGCTGGCCCAAACCAGGCATTGATGTCCACATCTTGATCCTGGCCCAGACAGCAGTACACGGGGACACTGATGTCATCCCTGAGTTCCCAAACCTGGCCACAGAAACATCATTGTCAATCATCACAGGGGTGGAAACATCACTGACAAGCATCACACAGACAGAAATATAACTGACAAACATCATACAGACAGAAATATAACTGACAAACATCACACAGACAGAAATATAACTGACAAACATCATACAGACAGAAATATAATTGATAAACATCATACAGACAGAAATATAACTGACAAACATCACACAGACAGAAATATAACTGACAAACATCACACAGACAGAAATATAACTGACAAACATCCCACAGACAGAAATATTACTGACAAACATCACACAGACAGAAATATAACTGACAAACATCATACAGACAGAAATATAACTGACAAACATCACACAGACAGACACATCACTGTCACACATCGCATGGACAAGAACATCAGTGACAAATATCCCAGAGGCAGAATTAAGTAAAGAAAGTCAATAGAGGACACATCATGGTCAAATATGACACTGACAGAAACATCACTGTTAAACATCACACACAGGTGGAAAGATGCGAGCCACTGAAAGATACAACATTGCCAAAATTGCACTGATATGCACATGTCACATTTTTAACATTGAAGCTTACATGTGTAATATTTATAACTAAGATTCTCAATATCTACAAGAGAGAAGTATAATATCTATAGCTTATATTATTTTTTTAAATCACCAAACTGGTGTGGTCGATCATGATCATACTACTGGACATCTCTAGTAGCATGTATTAGTCTGAGTGCTGATACTTGTCTGTTCTTTGACAAAAAAACTGTTAAGAACATTCTCTTGTGTCATCCTAGATTCTTTTTTCATGAACTGGTAACAACAAGAACTGAATAGACAGAAACAAGCAAGTAGGAAGCTCAGTGACCTGTGTATATTTATTGCTGTATATAGTTTTGTTTCATTTCTCTTCCCACTCCAACTTTACAGGTTTCAATTTCTGGACAACAAACTATTGTTCCAATTACCCTGTCATTAGGGTTACTTCCCTGTGGACAGTTTTTTGCTTCTGTAAAAATGTAATTGTAATGTTCTGTTGTGATGTTGATACAGACTTGGGCTGAAACATTCACTTATTGTCTGTGTGTATTTCCTTTCACGGAGCTTCCTACTTACTTCTTGATTTTGCGTTTCTTTCTATCTAACACACACCTGGTCAAAGAGTTGGTGCTGTGCCAGGTAAGCTTTGGTACTAGCGTGAGGAGCTGTTATATAAGTGTCAATCAACTCATTGACAGTCATCAGCTTCTGTGTCCAAGAATCTTCCGTGTATCGGGTTCCCAGTTCCACAGGAACTGTCCGAAATCCAGCCACTAACCGCAGGTAGTCAACTGACCAACGCCTTGTGGTCAACGCTGGCCAATAGCTAATGGCATCTGTAATAACAACTGGGAGACCTGGTTCCATATACACTGACTGAAACATCTCCACTGACGGACAAGAACACTGGGCAATGTCTTCTATCACCTGTGAATGTATTCTAGGAGGTGGAGCTATAGGTTCCTCCTGCGTGGTTTCTGGTGGACTATTCCCTGAAGGATTTCTAGTTTCATCTTCAACAACCTGATCCTTCAGTTCAGTGACTGCTTCAGCATCTGTACACAGCTGCCCTGTGCTGATCAGTGTCTGGTCACAATGGCCTGAACACTGGGTAAAATCTCTACAACCAGAGACGCTGTCACTCAGTCTGGTTTTCTTCCTGGGTATGTCCTCATCCAGATGATCATGACTGTATCCATCCTTACACTTGATGTCAAGTTCTGCAGCTTCAGTCTGCTTCCTGCCGTTGCTTGTTCCTTGTCCACCAAGTCTAAACACATGTTGAAACTCTGCAGACATCCTGGCTAAAATGTTGTTCAACACTGGGCAGCCCATCAGCAAGCCCATATCACAGGTTTTCAGAACTGCCATACGATCAGAGGCACTTGAGGCCTCAGACAACAAAGCCCCAAGAGCCACAGCTTTGATGATGGACACCACGGAGTAGGCCTGTCTCCAACACAAGCGAACATCCTTCCAGTAGCCGGTGTTTAACTCCTCCCATATCTTGTCCAGTAACGTCTGACACAAGAAGACACTGTGTGTGTAGTCCTGGCTGTACAGACTGTCTGTGGCCTGGTGTAGCTGGTGTAACACTGAAGGGTTCTGTAGACAAGAGAACAAGTTAAGAATTCATTCAACAAGATCACTGACGCTCAACATTTGTGTGTCCAGCAGGTTCAGTTATTTTACACATTGTGTTTTAGCTGTTACTTCAACACCTTCTGTTTTATATTTCAGTCACTGTGTCCTAGTTGTTACTTCAACACCTTCTGTTTTATATTTCAGTCACTGTGTCCTAGTTGTTACTTCAACACCTTCTGTCTTGTATTTTACCCACTGTGTCCTAGTTGTTACTTCAACACCTTCTGTCTTGTATTTTACCCATTGTGTCCTAGTTGTTACTTCAACACCTTCTGTCTTGTATTTTACCCATTGTGTCCTAGTTGTTACTTCAACACCTTCTGTCTTGTATTTTACCCATTGTGTCCTAGTTGTTACTTCAACACCTTCTGTCTTGTATTTTACCCACTGTGTCCTAGTTGTTACTTCAACACCTTCTGTCTTGTATTTTACCCATTGTGTCCTAGTTGTTACTTCAACACCTTCTGTCTTGTATTTTACCCATTGTGTCCTAGTTGTTACTTCAACACCTTCTGTCTTGTATTTTACCCATTGTGTCCTAGTTGTTACTTCAACACCTTCTGTCTTGTATTTTACCCATTGTGTCCTAGTTGTTACTTCAACACCTTCTGTCTTGTATTTTACCCACTGTGTCCTAGTTGTTACTTCAACACCTTCTGTCTTGTATTTTACCCACTGTGTCCTAGTTGTTACTTCAACACCTTCTGTCTTGTATTTTACCCACTGTGTCCTAGTTGTTACTTCAACACCTTCTGTCTTGTATTTTACCCACTGTGTCCTAGTTGTTACTTCAACACCTTCTGTCTTGTATTTTACCCACTGTGTCCTAGTTGTTACTTCAACACCTTCTGTCTTGTATTTTACCCACTGTGTCCTAGTTGTTACTTCAACACCTTCTGTCTTGTATTTTACCCACTGTGTCCTAGTTGTTACTTCAACACCTTCTGTCTTGTATTTTACCCATTGTGTCCTAGAATTTACTTCCAACACCTTCTGTTTTATATTTCAGTCACTGTGTCCTAGTTGTTACTTCAACACCTTCTGTCTTGTATTTTACCCATTGTGTCCTAGAATTTACTTCCAACACCTTCTGTTTTATATTTCAGTCACTGTGTCCTAGTTGTTACTTCAACACCTTCTGTCTTGTATACATTCTTATTGTTACAAATACACAGACACAATTAAACACACAGATTAATAATCTAGTCGCCCGTGGGGGTTCCAGGGCCCTATTATAGGGAAAACAAGAATAGACCCACTGTCTACCCAAATGCATGTCAGAAGAGTCGAATAATTAGGAGCTTCCTTCAAAGTCGGAGTGCATCTGCCTGAGAGGCAAGGAACCAACAGTCTGCACACAAATGTGTCAGATCTGTCAAAAGGATGTACACGCAGCACTCAGGTTCTGGAATAGAACTGCAGTCCAAAAGTGGACGAACAACCAGAACTTTGCGCCAGAGTTTACAGCTGGTGAACGCAAAGAATAAGAAGAAGAATCTAGGGATGACATGGAGATGGCAAGGATAGTTAGGCATGTGGTGGCCTGTTTTAAGGCCATTCAGGTAAGAAGAGTTAAAGAATGCCACCTGATGATGATGTTTTCAATGGCTATTGCTGCTGCCAGAAATAAAAGGGAAAACAAAGTGACAGCATACATATGGACAGCACAACCTGCTTTGTGTAGTGTATTCTAAATGAGAGTTAATTTATGGACAGTACTATCTACTATATGTATACATATACTCCATGACAGAAAACAAATCAACAGCACTACCTACTATATGTGACACATGCTCCAGGTCAGTAAACAAGGACAACACAACCTACTATATGTGGCATATGCTCTATGACAGTAAACAAGGACAGCACAACGTACTATATGTGTACATATACTCCATGACAGAAAACATAAGGACAACACAACCTAATATATGCCCCACAGGCTCAAAGACAGTAAACTATGGATACCACAACCTACTATATGCCCCACATGCTCCAAGACAGTAAACATATGGACAGCACAACCTACTATATGTGAAACATGCTCCAGGACAGTAAACATATGGACAGCACAACCTACTATATGTGACACATGCTCCAAGACAGTAAACATAAGGACAGCACAACCTACTATCAGATATGTGACACATGCTCCAAGACAGTAAACATATGGACAGCACAACCTACTATCAGATATGTGACACATGCTCCAAGACAGTAAACATATGGACAGCACAATCTACTATCAGATATGTGACACATGCTCCAAGACAGTAAACATATGGACAGCACAACCTACTATCAGATATGTGACACATGCTCCAAGACAGTAAACATATGGACAGCACAACCTACTATCAGATATGTGACACATGCTCCAAGACAGTAAACATATGGACAGCACAACCTACTATCAGATATGTGACACATGCTCCAAGACAGTAAACATATGGACAGCACAACCTACTATCAGATATGTGACACATGCTCCAAGACAGTAAAACATATGGACAGCACAACCTACTATCAGATATGTGACACATGCTCCAAGACAGTAAACATAAGGACAGCACAACTTACTATCAGATATGTGACACATGCTCCAAGACAGTAAACATATGGACAGCACAACCTACTATCAGATATGTGACACATGCTCCAAGACAGTAAACATATGGACAGCACAACCTACTATCAGATATGTGACACATGCTCCAAGACAGTAAACATATGGACAGCACAACCTACTATCAGATATGTGACACATGCTCCAAGACAGTAAACATATGGACAGCACAACCTACTATCAGATATGTGACACATGCTCCAAGACAGTAAACACATGGACAGCACAACTTACTATCTGATATGTGACACATGCTCCAAGACAGTAAACATATGGACAGCACAACCTACTATCAGATATGTGACACATGCTCCAAGACAGTAAACATATGGACAGCACAACCTACTATCAGATATGTGACACATGCTCCAAGACAGTAAACATATGGACAGCACAACCTACTATCAGATATGTGACACATGCTCCAAGACAGTAAACATATGGACAGCACAACCTACTATCAGATATGTGACACATGCTCCAAGACAGTAAACATAAGGACAGCACAACCTACTATCAGATATGTGACACATGCTCCAAGACAGTAAACATAAGGACAGCACAACTTACTATCAGATATGTGACACATGCTCCAAGACAGTAAACATATGGACAGCACAACCTACTATCAGATATGTGACACATGCTCCAAGACAGTAAACATATGGACAGCACAACCTACTATCAGATATGTGACACATGCTCCAAGACAGTAAACATAAGGACAGCACAACTTACTATCAGATATGTGACACATGCTTCAAGACAGTAAACATATGGACAGCACAACCTACTATCAGATATGTGACACATGCTCCAAGACAGTAAACATATGGACAGCACAACCTACTATCAGATATGTGACACATGCTCCAAGACAGTAAACATAAGGACAGCACAACCTACTATCAGATATGTGACACATGCTCCAAGACAGTAAACATATGGACAGCACAACTTACTATATGTTCCACATCCTCAATGACAGCCAGAAGAGCATGTGGCCTGGCAGGTAGAAGCTTTCTGATCTGTTCTATCTGAACATCTTTGGCACCTGTCACTGACTGTTTCATGTCTGACTGTCCGTCTCTCCTCTTGTTCCCATTTACTGTAGCCACAAGCCCACTACCTAAAATACATATAATTGTATTTTAAAATCTAATTTGGCAGTGGTGTGTACAAACATCCTTCTGACTGACTCTAGAGCTAGCTATCTACCCATGCATATTTTCTAATGTTATAGGCTAATTATAGCTTGTGATATGATATATTCATTACAGAGAGTCCTTTAAAGAATCTATATTGTTTCTGACTTTCAGAACAGTTGTCTTTTGCTCTAGTGAACTCACTCTAAGTTGTAGTCTTAGCCATTTTCTATTGCAACAGGTTTCTGTTCACTGAGATTATTTACTACTTAGTTATTTCAATATTTGGGAGCCACCAGGCTAGCGGCTATTCTGTGGATAGGGAGGTCATGGGTTCAAATCCCAGCGGATTTCTTAATCCAGGCTTTTTTCTAAATGTCCTTGTCTCCCAGGATGACCCAGCTTCAACTCTGTTCGGACATATCACCGATAATTCGACAGAAGAATCCGTCCTGTTCTGAAGATTTATCAGCTCTCGGCAGACACTTTAATACTGTTTTGTTTAATTAAGAACTGAGATCACATCACTCGGGGACTTCTCAAGTGCTCCATCCCCATCTTCAGCAGCAACAGCAGAGTTCCAATGCCGATTGTATCAGTAGCAGTCTGACCGTGTCTCCATCTCACCTTTTCCTTAAGTGCTGATTGTATTAGTAGCAGTCTGACCGTGTATCCGTCTCACCTTTTCCTTAAATGCTGATCGTCGGCCAGATTCCTTGGTCATTCCTCACAGCACCATCTCCTCAGACCGTGATAATCTCAGACCGTGATGATCTCTGACCGTGATGATCTCAGACCGTGATGATCTCAGACCGTGATGATCTCTGACCGTGATGATCTCAGACCGTGATGATCTCTGGCCGTGATGATCTCAGACCGTGATGATCTCTGACCGTGATGATCTCAGACCGTGATGATCTCAGACCGTGATGATCTCTGACCGTGATGATCTCAGA